TAGCTCCCCAGCAGGGACAGAGCCAGGGAAGCCCCTTCTCTGAGAGAAACTCAGAGCACCTGCCAGCATAGGGCAGGTAGAGGAGCTGAGGAGACTGGCCCTGACCTTGGCCAGCCCTGATGTCGGCTCGCCTCCTACATCAGACACTGAGCTCCCCCACCGGCTTCAGGTGCACAGCTCCTGGTAAAACTCGCTGCCGAAAGGGAGTGGAGAGACAACGGGGAGAAGATGTGTGGATGGGAGTGGATGGGAACCCCGACTTTAAACGCTCCCTGGCCCCTGAGAAGCGCATGGTGAAGGGCCTGGCATGTGTCTGTCTTACTGGCCAAGAGCTGGGGGTGGGGGTGGGCTGAACATGTCTGTGAAGAAATGAAGTGTGAGGCTGATTAAGGGCCAGATCAGAGAGCCCAGAGCTAAGTTTCACCAAACTCCTCCTTCAGAGCCTGTGCGTGCGTGCCAAGCTGACCCGGGCCCAGACTCCGAAGAAGAGCCTGGAGTCCTGGGAACTGGTAGTGATTCTCTCTGGACTGTTTCGGGAAGCTGGCCCAGCTGGAAGGCTCCCAGGGGAGTCCCTTCTGGAGCAGGCAGGACTGGGTGCTATCGTACTGCCCGACCTTTGCCCCCTTCCTCAGATTATTCCAACAAAATACCTTAGCTCCAAATGCCCATGGATTGTTTTATAGCCAGGGGCTAATTCTCCCGTGGGCAGTTCCTGGAAAAGGAGACTTTACACCTTCAGCATGCACCTTCCCTCCAGGAGAAACTCCAGGGAGAGTCCTTGGTTCCAGGCCTTGGATAATGGGTCTTCACTCCCATTGACTCCATCTGTCCTGTGAGGATTGGGGTCCACTAGGGCCCACTGACTGTCTACTCTTGGAAGGACAGGTTCCACTGGGGACTCCTGTGGGTTACTCTGCCCTTCTAGGCCATCCTTGTCCTCCAGATCCTCTCATGTGTTCCCTCCAGACCAGCAAGGGAAATTCAGGGGGTGCAGAGAGGAGAGCATGGTGGAAGGTGCCCAGGAGCCCACAGGAGAGAGTGGGATAGGAGTCAGGGGCTCCTCGCCTAAAACCAGAGCAGGTGTAATTAGCCCAGGAGGTAAACACCACCCCAGAGTTTCCCACACAGCCTGGAGCATAGTTCAGGGCAGAAACCCAGGGCCCGACAGCTATACCGCAGAGAAATCCACCATTAGGTAGGGCGTCTAGACAGAAGTCACACAGCCAGGGGAGGCCTGAGGACTGAGAACACGATTAGGGAGAGAAAGCCTGGCCTGGTCCAAGGTCCAAAGTGACCCTGATATGGGCGGCTGCAGACTCGGGACCCCCCCAGAGAAGCACATGTCCAGGGCTCCTGGCTGTTCCAGGGAAAGTCCTCTCCCCTCCCCACTGCATAAGGATCCTCAACCTCATTTTCCACCCGTCCCTGAGCTGTGGATGGTTCCCTGGCCTCAGTGGCCTCCTTCTCCTCTGAATCTCCTAAAGACGCAGTAACAGACCCCAATGTATACATGTGGGGAGCTTGCAGACTCAGGGTCTTGGACAGCTGTGGGTACAAAAGCCATACCTGCTCCTCACCTTGCAAAGTGGCAGAACCCAGTCCTGGGCCACCCAGATAGTGCTGTGACCCTGCTCTCCACAGCTCTCTGTTCTCAGCTGCTGAGCAGAGAAGCTGCCATGAAGCTTATGCAGGAGTTACTGCCTGTGTCTCAGGGTCCCCTGCACCTTCTTTCCCCAACAAGGTTACATATGGCTGGTAGAAATCTGACTTCTCCAACACAGGTGTTTGGAAATCAGTATCAGTCCAGCTCTTCTGTTTCTGTAACTTGAGACTCAAATAGTCCGGATGATCCCTGACCATTTTAAATGATGAAAGGGGCCAAGTAGCTTAACAAGTGTGAACCCTGGACTGTGGGGCAGGAGGAAGTGCACTGTGATCCAAGCACGTCCCTCATCTGTGCACAGTTTGGACCCACGGCCACGAGGCCTCCGGGTCCAGTTAGGGGAAGGTGTGGGCGTGATTAGTCTTTAGGGGTGTGAGCAATAGGCATTAGGGTTGGCTTCGAAGGGAGGGAGACGTCTGAGGGGGTCTAGTCCCTGAATCAGAACCTCAACTGTAAGTCCAGAGTTCTTAGGGGTGGGGTGGGGGGGAAGGGTGGGCACCTGAATGCAGAGGGCTGAGCAGGGGGGTGGGCTGGGCAGTGGGAAGTCCCTGGCTTAGTCCAGCAGAAACTAGGTCAGAGCTCTGATTTTCACTGCAGAGAGCACAGTGGATTGTGGGGGGGTGAGACCCGAGCCTTGGAGGGTTGTGGAGCGCAGCTGGGTCTGATCTGGAGTGAGCTGGGACCACTGAGCTGAGGTGACTGGCTCGAGGTGACTCCTGGTTTGCGTGGCTAAGTGTGAGTGGTGGGTCCAGATTGTTTGCTAAGCCTTGGTTTTGAGCCTGGGGAGCTGAGAAGTGGGGAGAGTGGGGGTTCAACTGAGGTGTGGGGAGACGTCTGTGCAGAGATGCCTGATGACCAGCCGCACTTTCAGGTAACCTGGGCTGGAGATGGGGGCCCCTGGAAGACAGTACCTAGAGGTGCTGGGCATGGGGCAGTGAAGGGAGAGTGGACGGGGTGGCGGGGGAGGGGGGAGCTTAGGTCCAGACCCAGGGGCAGGGGCCCAAGGTGGATGAAGAAGGAGCAGCCTCAGAAGATGGGGGCAGGACAAGGCAGTAAGGGGTGGGAGACTTCAGAGGGCAGGGAAGAGAGGTGGGGTCACAAAGATGGCCTTGAGGAACTGGGCAGGGTCAGTGCAGGGGATTCCAAGGATAGGATTAATGGGGAGAGGCCACAAGGAAGGACAGGGAGGGAGCAAGGCTGGGAGAGGGCTGGGCATGGGTACAGTCCCAGCTTCCTTGTAAAGATGGGGAAACTGAGTGTGTGTAGTGCTGCCTAGTCACAGGCCAGGCCCCAATGCCATCATAGTGGGAACCTCCAAATTCAGAAGAACTATGCAGGCAGGGGCGGGGCAAGGCCTGACCCAGGGTCAGAGGGCACTCCAGGGGTCTTCTCCCCGGGATCCTCTTTATGTCGTCCTGAGAGCCCCTACCTCCAGCTTCCCAGGATTACAACATGCAGGGCGTGGTGCTGTTGAAGTGAGACCTTTTAAATGGTGAGTGCCAGGAGGGAAACACATTCTGCCCTGCCCATGAGACGGCGCTGGAGCTGCTGGAGTGGGTGGCCCCCACCCGGAGAAGGCCCTCTTTGGACAGTTCGAGTGCTCAGAGACCTGCAGGCCATGGCTCTTCCTGGGTGAGTAACAAAATCTGGGCCAGGCAAATACTTGGGTCAATGCCGCCTTCCCAGGGTCCCCACACCCACTCAAGGCTGAACAGCTGGTGCCCTGATGGCTGGCACCGGACTCTCATATGCCAGGCTCCACACCTGTGCCGACACCAAGACTAGACAGAAAATGCATGCTTGATTACACAACAGAGGAGCTGCACCTCCCAGAGTGTCTTGGGCCCACCCTGCACATGTCATCATCCTTATGGTGGTTTCATAGAGTAAAGAGGGTGGCAGAGGAAGAGACGCCACTCCCCCCCCCCCAACTGTGCCCCAGAAATAGGTCAGTTCTTAGGTGAGCAGTGTGAGCGTCAGGGCAGGGTACGCCCAGACGTTGAGGTTGGACTTGCCCAGTAAATGTCACATTGGACATTGGCTAGTGTTAGTGGTCTGCCCCTGGCAGAGGCATCTGGCAAAGACACAGCTTATGAGACCACAGGGCTTTCCAGTGGGGGACAAAGTAAGCAAGGTGACCAGGCAGGTGGGGCCAAGGGGCTACACAGATGCCAGGAAAAAGGAGGGAGAAGGCAGAGGGAGCTCCTAAGAAAGACAAAGCAGAAAAGAGAGGGACTTCAAGGGAGGCCATGGCACAAGCAGGAAGTGAAGGAAAAACAAGCTGCAGCCAGCCTCTGCCAGGTACCCCGAACCCCAGGTCCAAAGCCCTCTAAGGTCTTGCCCCAAACCTCTTTCCCAGCATGCTGAGGACGTCAGTTGCCCTCCAAGGCCCCAGAAGGGCTCCTCTTCTTCTTGCCTTGCCCTTCCCCATTTCAAAACCATTGGTGATCTGTTCCTGCCACCTACAGTTCCTTGGGGGGCAAGGGTGGGGGGTGTCTTCAGACCTTGCGCTCAGTGGGCCCTCCCTCAGGCTCCTCCTAGTAAGTTACAAATGCCATTACACCTCCAACACCTCAACTAAGACCCTCTCTGGTGTTGACCGACACTTAGAAACTTCAGTCCTCCGAAGCCCTTAGGAAAGATGACCTTCCCATCACCTTGCTGCCGAGTTATGGCAATCCCACTTTGCTGGCTCACTGGAGCAAGTTAGGAGAAGACAAATCTGACAGGAAGGGGTTTTAAAAAGAGAAACGCTCTCGGTGGGAAACTCGCTCCTATAGGTAGGATTTTACTGGGCTTAATTATGAGCGGCACCGTTTCCCTTCTGCTCTGGGGACAAAGTATCACTTCGGTGCTTGACAACAAGGGCATTCCTTTTTCAGGGCATTAAAAAGCCCCCCGCAAGCCCGACAGACAGAAAACCCGGCGCAGGAGCGCCAGAGCGTGGAAACGCGCTGTACCGCAGGCCTGGATGGGCAGACTGGAGCCCAAACACAGGACCAGGTATCCGGAGTGAGCGGGCTTCCCCACCGGCACCCGCCCGGCAAGATCGGGTGACTCTCGGGGAACGGCACGGCCGCTCCGGACCCGGCCAGGCTCGCGGCCCCTGCCTGATTCCAGGGCTGGCTCTCCGGGGCTGCGCGCGGTGATCTCGGACCAGACCGCGGGGCAACTGACACTGAACGCGCCCCTTCCACAGGGAAGACCGCGGAGCCGGCATATACCCGGAGGAAGGTGGGCGCCTAATTCTGCCAAGCTGGAACGCAGGCGGGGTCGCTGGAGGGAAAGTCGCGGCGGGGCCAGAACCCGGAGGCCCTTCGAGTCCCGGGTCGCTTACCGATCTTGGCCACGCTGGCCACGAGGATCCAGAGCGCGATGATATACGGTTGCTGGACGTGGTGCCATTTTAATGTGACCACCTGGAAGCCCTGGTTTTCTTCGTGCTCCTTGCCAGGCTCCTCCTCGACGGCCCCCACCGGCGGCAGCTCGCCCAGCGCCAGCAGTAGCGCCAGCAGAAGCCCCCAACCGGGCCCTAGTGCCCCGCGCTGCGACATCATCCCCACCGCTCAGTGTCCGGTCCGGACGCTCATGTCGTGTCAGTCCGGCTGCGCTCTGCAGGACGCGCTGCGCGGGAGCCGCTGGACGCGCCAGCCGGCTGGAAGCGCGTTGGGCAGCGCAGAGCCGAGAGTGCTCTGGGTGCGGGCTGCTGTCCCGGTCCCCGCCCGCCCGGGTGGCCTTTAATCCAGCGGCCCCCTCCCGCCCTGGGGCGGGGCCCCGCCCCCGTTGCGCACACGCGAGCGCAGACACCGTCGCGCGTTCTCGGCACGCCCACCCCGGGCCTGATCGGCCCCTTGGCCTTACCTTCCCACGTCCGCAACCCACTCCCGCCCTCTCCTGGAGCCCTGGGCTGCAGGGCGCAGGCCAGGAGGTCTATGCGGTCGCAGGGCGATGGAGGACGGAGCGCAGCGCAGAGGGCTGGGGATCCTTCAGAGCTTGGCTGTCAAGTGGTGAGCGCTTGGTGCCTCAGGCGCCCCACGGTGGCATTCGCTCAGCTCCGGAGTTGCCAGGGGCCGTCCATGGGAACATTGGCCCCAAGCTCCTCCTTCCCCACAAACGCAGGACCTGGGGCTGTGCAGACCCCACCAGAGGCACAAGGACCCAGAAAGGGGGCCAGGCTGCCAGCCTCGTACTGTCTTCCACAGCATTTCGTCACAGGATCTAACAACTTGTCAGAAACCAGGGTGATGCACAATCCAAGTCCCTGCCCTTCTCCAAGCATGGCCCCTGTACCTTCTGTGAGGGACCTCTACCTCGCTCCCCCTTCTCCCACCTCAGAGCCCAAGGGCGCTGCTCAGACTTCTAGTATTGCACCTGAAATGTCCCTTTTACCGCAGGGTGGGCTTGGAATTGACATGGTGGTTGCAGGGGTGGGGATTCTACCCTCAAGTCCGTTCAGCCTGCACTGCATCTGCAGATGGCTCACCTGGACATCTCAGACTCCACGATGCAAATGCACCTCACATTTCCTCCCTAAACCCACCCTGCAGCCTCAGCAGGGGCAGCCCTGTCTTCTGTTCAGCCCAAACCTAGGAAGCATACCTGACTTCTCCTTCAGCTCCCGCTGTTTCCGGGACAGGTTTTCTGCTCTACTTGCAAATACAAACCAGCTACTGCTCATCACCTCTGGCGGTCACCCACTGCGGCAAAGGCTCCCCCTTCATCTGCCTGGTCTGGCCCTCCTATTGGACCCTCCAACTCAGAGGAACTCTCAAGACTCGGGCCTCTCCCTGACCTCTGAGCCTCCCTCTGCCAGATGCACCCGCTTTCTGGGGACCTCTACTCCCAGGCTCCCTTGGTTCCATGAGGCCTTTGCTCCAAGTCACCTCTTTGTTGCATCCACTGATCTCTCAGCTCCCCTCCCCCCCTCCCCTACTCGTGTTCCTCCATGCCTTCCAGGCTTTGACATGCTGTCTGCTCTGTTTGTCTGTTGCCTGTCTGCCCTCTCCATGGGAACATCTGTTCCCTGAGTGAGGGGCTGCATAAAGCCCAGCAGACTCACAGCTGCATCCCCAGTGCCTGAAACAGTGCCTGGCACACAGGAGCACTCAGGAGACATTGGTTAGATGGATGCAGGTGGACACATATCTTCTAATATCTGAGAACTAGAGACCCGGTGCACAAAATTTGTGCATGGGAGGGGGGGTCCCCTCAGCCCAGCCTGCACCCTCTCCAATCTGGGACCCCTCAGGGGATGTCCGGGCCTAAACTGGCAATTGGACATCCCTCTCACAATCCTGGACTGCTAGCTCCTAATCACTCACCTGCCTGCTTGCCTGGTCACCCCTAACTGCCCCACCACCCCCCACTGGCCTGGTCACCACCAACTGCCCCCACCCTGCTGGCCTGGTCGCCCCATGCAGCCTGCTTATTCAGTCATTTGGTCGTCCCTCACTAACCACCCCCCTGCAGGCCTGGTCGTAGGCAGCCATCTTGTGAGGGTGTGAGGGTCAATTTGCATATCACCTCTTTATTATAGGATATGTTAGAGTCTTAGGAGGTGGGGAGGGCAGTGCTAAGCTGGATGACCTTATTCCTTGGATTTTCTCCCCAGTTTCTTATGAGAGGTGGCTATCAGTCATGTAGTGGAGAGAGAATTAATTCAAATCATGCTCACTTGTCTGGGTGGTTGGGTGTGAAATGGCGAGTGAAGCTGGGCGACCACTTGGAGGATGCTGTGGAGGGCATCAGTCTTCACTGGGGGCCCTGGGGGGACTTGCCAGCTGTAAGGGCCTCTGTGGTAGCCCAGGGATTCAGGTGGGGGAGGGAGGCCAGCCTCAAGGGATGTAGTGACCATGGGGTGGAGGCTGGACTGAGCTGAGCACAGGGTCTGTGGGAGTATGTGACTGGGACCTGCCAGGGTGGCCGTGCTTGGTGAATGGTTGCTCCCAGCTCAAGCCTATTCGTGCTGCTTCTGTCCCCTGCTCTATTCTTGGCCTCCTGTCCCAGAGGTAGAGCCAGTTGGACATGATCAGATTACCTGCAACCCGGACACCCTCCTTATTTACCCTCATGGTTCCTGAGTAAATAAAGCCTTTACAAAACCATCCTCTTTGAAGATGGTGCCCTTGCATTCCACAGAAAGGCCAAATGCCCACCAGAACGGCATGTACTATGATGCCCAGTGACCCTCCGGTCATGCCACCCCTGGGGGTTTTTACCAGAGCCTGTCCTAAGAACTCAGGGAATTTCCCCTGGGAGGGGCTGCTGCTGAGACCCAGGAGGCAGTTCAAAGGGCAGAGGAGCAGACCGTCAGTGTGCAGACTTGAGGATTCAAAGTGAAGGCTGAGGCTGGTTGTTGGCCATCGGACAGTGTGCCGCAGAGGTGGCCACAGGCTGTCCGAGGACATGGGAGAGTTGAAAGGAAGCAAGGCCCCGCAATGGCATGGTGGGAGTGTGGTGCAAGCTCTGGTGAGAAGCAGGCTGTTTGCAGGATCTATGGGCAAGTATAGGATGAATGCATTTGCGCTTCAGGTTGCTGGAAGGCTCCAGGGCAGGTACAGTGATAAGAGTATCAGCCTCCCTTACAAGCAGAAGTCAGTTTAGGGGGGTGGGGAGTGTGTACTGCTCCATTCCTCCAGATATACCACCCACCCACTGGCCCACTTCTCCACAGTGATCCCCCAACAAGGACTGGGGCCACATGGTGGGCGGGCTGTGGTTTTAAGCAGTGCTGCAGCACCCCACCACTCCAGGGCTACCATTATGAACGGCGCCCCCAGAGTTGTGCCGCGCACAATCCAAATGGCCATCTGGCCAAAAGTAGCCGGAGGCCTGGGTGTGTGTGTGTGTGTTGGGAGGTGTCCTCAGGGCCAGGCAGGTGTGTGATGATCTGATAACTACCCTCTCAGCACCGCCATCAGGCAGGTGAGCAGCATTGCAGAGCTGCCCTCCCCCACCCTCCCCAGTGGTGAGGATCACCTGTGGGTTTGCTTGTACATATATTGTGTTAGTTTGGGAACGAGTTTCCGACCAGGTTGTCACCAGGCAGAGTCTCTGTGTCCTCATGTGGCCTTTCCTGGGGTGCAGACATGAGGAGAGAGAGGGAGAGAGATGTCTCTTGTGCTTCTTGAAAGGGCACAGACCCTATTGGATTAAGGCCCCAACCTTATGAACCTCACTTACCCTTAATTACCTCCCTATTGTCAAGTACAGCCACAGTGGGTGCTCTGGCGGCTTCAACATAACTATGGGATGGGAGCGGGGGGTAGGGGGGAGGGCAAACAAACATTTAGTCCCTAGCACTGTGAGACCCCATGACCATATGGCCAACTCAAAAATGTTACAATGATGCAAATAATCAGTCCGAAAGAACTGCAATCTACCTCATCTGCCATGAGCATCTGAACTTCAAAATTAAGAAATGAAAGTGAAAAACATTACATCTAGTCCATCTAGTCCACATCTATGCTTTTGCTGACAATACACAAGAGATGAAAGTTAAGTTTAATGTAACTTTAAGATGTTTAAGCCCATACAGCAGTGGTTCTCAACCTTGGCTGCACATTAGAATCACCTGGGAATCTTTTTAAAATCCTGATTTCTGGGCCTCATCCTCCGGGAAATTCTGTTTCTTTGTTATGGGGTGGGGCCACAACATTAGTAACAAAGAAGCAGAATTTCCGGAGGATGAGGCCCAGAAATCAGGATTTTAAAAAGATTCCCAGGTGATTCTAATGTGCAGCCAAGGTTGAGAACCACTGCCATACACACAGGCATTCACCACCCATCCCCAAAGTTTATTTTTAAACCCAAAGTGTTCACACACTAGCACTTAAGGAGGGGAAGAGCCCGGAGCTATTACATACCTAGCCAGTGGGCCGGCTGCGTGCCCCCTGTGCCCCGTCCTACCTAGACTCCAGGCCCCCTAGGAGCAGACCAGCATGACAGGTGTCCTGCCTTATTTGATTGCAGTAATACAGCTGCATTTTTTTCAAAACAAATTGTGAGCAGGGGTTCTTCTGTGGTCGGCCTGTGGCAGCCGTGGGGCCTCTGGTGAGTCTGGAGCCTTTCTAGGCCATGGCCACAGACCAGTATGCAGGTGAGGGGCATTCGGGGCAGAGGGTCTAAGGCTAAGCAATAGCTCCAGAGTTGCCACCTTGGTCACAGTGTCCCCAGGCCCTGGGGTCACCAGGCTGTGGCCTTGGATCTGGAATCGCAGTCACTTCCATGTCCTCCTCCAGACCTGCTGGTCTGTGGCTTGGCAGCACGTGAGTGAGCCTGGGGCGGGGTTGAGGTCCCGAGGATCATGGACCTGCCTTGATCCCTGCACCCCAGGCTTGGTACCCCCTCCACCCTTGGGGACACAAGGGACCCTCTGCAACAGGGACTGTCTGGCTTCACTGAGTTCTGTGGAAGCACCTCCCCCAACCACTTTGATCACTCCCTGCTCCCACCTCCTGTCCCTTGTGAAGTCCTGCCAATCTCACTACACCCCTTGTTTAAGCCCTGGTCTCTGGGCCATGCCCCCTCCTCCCAGGAATCTTGACAACCCCCT